CACTCTGCATGGGCAGCCAGCCACAGGGCACTGCTATCATAAATCCCCGATCAAGAGCACAGAGGTGCTGATGCACCTGAAGGTGGAGTACCCACGGAGACACTCCTCAAAGAAGAACCTGATAGTTTGCTGTGTGGAATTGCAGATGTGCCAATTAAAAGGCCTTTCTACCTAGCAGGGCCATCCTTAGGATTTATGGTGCCCTACGCAGAATTATTAAACTGGTACCCCTATGCCAAGGTTTGTCAAACAAAAACAAAAAAAAGAAAAAAGGAACCCACTTCCAATACCAATACATTAAAATCACATTCCTTCCCCAAGACTCCACCCTTTTGAGGTCCCATCCTCTCTGTTCCCCTCCTCTCCATCACTTGCTATCCTCAGCCATTATACGCTCTCACTTGGTTGAGAGAGGAGGTGCAGGCTCTGGGGTGGGAATGAGGGATTTGGATGTGGGAAGGGGTGAGAAGTGCAAGCTCTGGGAGGAAATCAGGATGCAGGAGAAGGGGATGCTGGCTCTGGGAGAGGGTTCCAGGCTGGGGAGTGTACATGAACAACATATCTTGAAGAAGAATTACAGGCATTCTGGGTCTTCTGGTGACTCCCACATCCAAAGTGGTTGCTCTTTAGTCTGGACTCTAGTCATCACCTCCTATAATTTAAATGGGCTGGAAATATTTGGTCTCATTTGGGCCTTGATCCTATGGAGTTTTGTGGTTTACCTACACACAAAGATGCACCTAAATAACTAATTTGGTTCGAATTAGCATCTTTCCTTATTTTGGTGTAAATTTGTGTGTGGACAGTTGTGACGAAATCCCTTTATCTCCCTTGACTTCCAGGAACCTTCCTGCCTCAGTTTCCCTACCCTAGTCAACTCACTGTCTCTCTGATACTGTCCAGCAATCTAGAGCTATTGGATCACTAAGGTGATAAGCCCTCTGGATAGGTCATTACAGTACATTCTTTTCAGGTTAACAAAGAGTACAGCAAAACTGTGGAGAGCCATCTAACATTTTCTGCCACTGAGCTGGCTCTATTTTATCCAGTATTCTTGCTCCTTACTAGTCCCTCCCTTCATGCTATATAGGCTTCCATTTATAGGAAGCTTCACCCTTGAGATATTGTCATGCAAGTCTGATTACCTGACCCAACCACCAGCCCAGCCCCAGCACAAGTGGAATAGAACCCAACTCAGCCCATCCTGTGATGTCTTATTTAAGATTAAAAATGTCCTACTGCTAAGTAGTTTGTCAGTAAAAATGCTTAATTCTCTTGCTTATAAAACATCTTATATGTAACTTAAAATTAAAACACTTCAATTATATTTTAATCTGCCATTTAATACTACTAATTAGCATATTAGGTTTCTTAGTATCTTTACTAAGCAAAAGAGTTGTGGAAGATTATTTCTCAGTTCACAGTCAAAGTATTTTTACTTTTTATTATGTTTAATGTTTGGGAAAATACAATTTTTTTTAGTTTAGAACAATCAGATGTTACGCTTCATAATAAAATCTTCAAACTGGGATGTCAAAAATTAAACAAACATCCTAATATTTAACTTTATTGATCAAGCAGATCTTGGTTTCAAACAACTGAAAAGTGCATCAGTTGAAAAGACAACTAATAATGAGACATATTTTGTTCTTGGATGGACATATATCTGTCTCTGACGGCACTGGAAGCGATAAGCATGCATCAGAGGCCGGAATTTGGCTTAGGTCTGCAAAATGAAAAGTTGGAACTGCTGTGTGTGTGGGGGGGGGGGTTCCCCCCAAACAAATTATATTTTATAACATATATATCATACATATTCCAAATCCTGCAAATGCAATTTATGTGAAACATTTAACATATAAAAAGTAATCACCGTAGAATTGTTTTTTAAAAAGTCAATACTGGAAACAAAACTAAAAAAATGCAATTTTAGTAAAACCACATATTGTGTTTAAGTGCAGAGATTTGTGTTATTTTTTCGGTTTTAAACACAGGAATATATTAGACATAAAGGCAAAAGTGGTTAAGAGAATGACCAATGTTATAACATATTGTAGCATTTACTCACACTTATCTGACACTATAGTTAATTGAAAAACAATGTAAACATAATGAGGTATGGATACCAACAAACAATGGCAAACTATGGGCCTGATCCTATAAATATTACTGGTGACAGTGCTTATGCTGGGTTTTGTCCCTTTGACTTCAACAGTACTAGTCTCTGTAGTAAGCATTATGCCTAGTGGTGTTTGCAGGATTGGGTCCTAGGTAGTCAATGCCATTAACAGAACCCATTTAAAGTGCCTCAGATTTTACACTGATGCAATTCTACATTTCTTTATTTGTCTCAATTTAATAGGCAAGAGTAAGTGAAATATTTTCTGGCAAGTTTTGTATAAATATTGGTTTAAAACTAATAGAGGTTTTCTAGCTAAACGTAAATTTCCTAAAATACTGGATCAATACTAAACTAGTTAAACAGTGCTTGCATCTATTTTTTGTAGAAAAGCAACTGAATTTCTTTTACATTGTTTTTATGCCTCTGATCATCATTTTATTCATTTTAAAGAACAAGAATAGATGTATTCAAATTTTGTTGGTCCAACCTGTGGAATTCTGAAGTGGTCTTATGTATTTTGTGCGAAAATTAAATCTTAAATTCATTTTTTCACAAGTTTTCTACCCATTATTTCATTCTGCTTCTTCACTCTTCTCAGAACCCCCTCCAGTTGAATTATCTACCTCATACTTTCTATCACAGGCATCTTCAGAGGACTTTCCAGGGCAGTCAGAGATTTTACTTGTAGATCCCGTATGTGTTCGAATGCGAGCTCCTGGCTGGTATAACTGCATGGCTGGACGATCCTAGAAAGAAGTGCATAAGGTTAATTTTTTTGAGAAAACTATTGTTTATTAACATATGTGAGCGTGAAAGTGACTAACTTGAGTTTATGTAGATACTGGATTTTTGTGTTAAAATTATTTTGCATTTAATGAGAACTAGGAAAAAGCTTGAACATAATGAAAACAGATTTTGCATTTATTATCCACCTCTTTTATAACACTATTTTTGGGATCCAAGAATTTTGAGTAAAATAAAACAGTGGTAATCAAAGGATGACTCTGACAGAATGATATAACAAAGGCCAAAAGAATTCTGTAGTAAATTTTGATACTATTTACAGTTCAAGTTGGGGAGGACAGTAACTGGTGCCACGCACACTTACGGCTTTATACACGAATGTTAGATAATAAATACAAATATAATAAAATAATACTCATTGGAAGAAACCAGAACAATGAGGGTATAGTGAATTTCAAATGAAATTCAGTATATAAGCTCCTGTTGTTTCTCTCTCATTGACGTGTGTGCAGAGCCATATTGACCTATGAACCATTAATACATTTAAACATGGGATGCAAAATGTTAGTCATCCATCCAATGGTCATACCTAGCATACCCCACTCTCATATTCATGTTCTTTATGAATAGATGGATACCAACCAACATGAATCAGGAAACAAAATGAGCACAAAGAAAAATGACTATTTTTACAGGCATAGTCACTGAAACCACGGGCAGTGGGTGACCCCATAGCTTGGGGAGGCAAGCCCCCAGCCCTGCCCTTTCCGGCCAAAGCCCTGCCTTTTCAATGTCCACTACAGCCCAGCTCTCCCCCCACTCTGTCTGCTGCTGGCACCTGTACAACCCCCCGCCAATGTGTTCACTGGCCTATGATCTCTGCCCCATAGTAGCACCCCCAGTCTACTTCAGAGAGCTGGTGGACACTGTACCTGTAACCTGCCCACCCCCTCCAGAGCTCTGCAGCCCTGGTGTGTGGCACGGCTGCAGTCTCTCCCAGAGCTCTAGAGAGCTGGGAGGTGATGCAGTTCCAGCCTGCCCCAGAGCTCCAGAGAGCCAGCAGGCAGCACACGTCCCCAACCTGCTTTAGAGAGACTGCACCTGCCTTAGCCCTAGACCTTGGGAGAGCTGGTAGCTGCAGCCTGTTCCAGCCCCAGAGCTCCAATGGGCAGCATGGTCCCAGCTTTTCCTGGTCCCCAAACACTGGAGAGGAGAGCAGATGATGCGGCACAGCCTGATGCCAGCCCCAGCCTCTGCCTCTGATACCACAACAGCAGGCTGGGGAAGAGAGTCTGGGGGACTCTGGTGGAGCATGGGCAGGGCCAGGTCAAGCAGTTTGAGAATGCAATGCCTTCCACTGCCTATGATACCCACTACCCATGACTGAAACCATCAGAAATTTGTGGATCTGAATACCAAAGTGCAGCTAGTTCCTAGGAAAAATGCAACTGAAACTTATTGTGAATGGTTACTGTTTAAAAGCCTCTGCCTACTGAGGCTATTTATTTTAACTATCACAAATAGGGGTGAAACCTCTCTAGTCTGGCACCCTTGGGACCCGACCTGATTGGTGCTGAACGAGAGAATTTGCTGAACCACAGGAGGTCAATCCTGTCTAGCAACATTACCAACACTTCAACTGCTTACTGATCTCTTAGAAGACATTTAGGGGTAAATTAGAACTAAATAACATCACAGAATACTGAGAACCAGGACTGGAGACTATAAGCAAACTTTATGGGACCGAAGGAAACTTAGCCACTCCTGCGAACAGTGGACATCTGACTAACTAAGATCATGCCGGACCACGGATGCTGCCTGACCAGAGAGCAACAGACTAGAGAGGTGCAGCCTGTATTAGACTGATGCTATGGAGAGATCCTATTTAACATCTGTATTAAAGTATAGGGTTCACCTAGAAAAATACATGGAATAGGCCATTTTAAGAAAACTGCAGAGCACTGAATTCTGTTCCATCTTAATTTCCTTTCACCTCTCCCTCACAATTTTCAATTCCTTTGATCTTGTTTTTTTCCTTCATTCTTTCCCCCCTTCACTGATACATCCTCCATTATCAGCTCTTCTCTTCCCCCTTGAATTTCAGTCTTGTTTCACCTTACTTTCCCATTTCTTTAGATTAGATATCTGACTTTTTATTTAGGATGTTTAGAAACACATTGTTTTAAGTGTTTTGAGTAAACCACCAGTTTCAATGTTCATCAGACTAAAACTTGCATGAACAGAGTTAGGTCAATTGGACCTTTCATTTTTTATTAAATGGTTTAAATCAATTTAATATTTTTAATATATTCAGACAGAAATTCAGACAGTTGCTAAAGGGGCAGAGAAAAAAGAACAGGGCTGCTGCTTGCCTGTCCTACTTCTAGAAACAGCACCACTGCATCAAGAGGCACACTGTCATGGAGACCTTACCTGCACCTGCTGTGAAAACTCTCTTCAGAAAAGGTGCACGTTACAGAGATGAATTCCATGCAAAGCAGTGGCAACCATCTTGTATGGAAAACTACATGATTAAAATGGATGAGGCCTCTAACAGCAGCCATCTCTTAGAAATGCTTTGACATGTCCTCTGAAATCTCAAAGCCTAAAACCTTCAGAAAGTGAACTCCACAGGTGAAGACTGGAAAATGGTTTTCTGTGTGTGGCTCCCATTCAAGAAACTGCCCAACTGTGGCTATTTTTTAAGAATGGGGTGACTTACCCTCCACTAGAAAGAGCCTTTACCTATGGGCAGAGTGAATGAAAACTACAAGATCTACTTTCCTATCTTCTGTATTGAAAAATTCTAAATATGATAACTTCTGGATAAAATATTTATTTATTCACTTTTACTTTAAAATCTGAATAATTGTAAGACAGCTAATAATCTGTCTGTAAAAATTTTACTTAGAATAAATTCACTTTTAAAAGACTACTGGGCCAAAGTTTTCAAACTCTCTTATAAATCACCTGTGATATAAAACTTTTAAAATGCTCAAAAAATGTTGGGCTTCCAAGAATAATGTTCTAAGAAAACAAATCCTATTGTCTTAAAAAAAAAAAAGTCTGGGTTTTACTGAAAATCAAATAGAGAATTGATTTTCTTGAAAAAAAAGCATCTTTATGCCGAGACTGCAAAAGGAAAACCTGTGGCCTTGAGGTATATTTTACTAATGAAAGATTATCCTAAATGAATAAAAGAACCTTATTTCTTATGCGCTCCTTTTTGGATGCCATGTCATCACACTTGTCCTCTTTACCCAGTTTGTCTACGGCCTCCACAGTGAAGCTGTAGTTGTGGTTCCCTTTCTTCCCTCTCTCTTGGCTGTATCCTTTCCCCCATTTCAGCTCTTCTTCATTCCGTCTCATAAACTTGTCAAACTCATAGTGAGCTCTATGCTTTCTGCCATCATCCAACCGGTATCTTTGTCTTTCAAGTTCTTTTTCTCGAAATCTTCTCTCCAAATCCATTTGCTCTTTATCACTATCATTTTGTGACCTGTGTGTGTTTAAACAAGAAAAACCTGAATAATTAATTTAGACAAAAATCACAGGTCTTGATTCAAAGGTCCCTGAAGTAAAATAGAAAGACTCCAACTGGCTTCAACAGGTTTTAGATTAGGCCCACAATTATGCCATATTTTCTTCTTAATTAAAAAAAATGAGATGCAATTTTGTACATCATAAATTCAACTCCCTATTGTGCATTCAGTTGAAATAGAAGCAGGAAAATATTTTGCAAACTGAGGTCTCCACTGGCTTGAAAAGAGAATCAGATTTACTTTAGAACTGCTTTGAAAATCATCCTGCAACTATTTTTCATATTTGAAATTACCGTTTAAATAGCGGTCTTGATCTTACAGATAAGAAAGGGTTACAGGATTAGGTCCAAAGACTTAGCATGTGAGTAATATCACAGACTTCCGTGGAAGCATTAATGACATAAAATAACTTTGCAAGTTCAAGACCTTGACTTTATGGCTCCATTTAACAGAAATTATTCACATCTTTTGCAACAGATGGGAGGCATTAAAGAAGACAGAATTAATGCTGCTGCTCCACTCTTCACTTACAATTATGTGTCTAGATGATGTAGCCTGCTAGTACATTTTTATTTAGGTGACTAAGTTTTGGAAAACCATTATCTTGTCACTCATGGTAATTAATTTATATTATATACTAAATAATTTATATTATAAAATAAACTATTTGCAACATTTTGCTGTTAAGATGATATAATTCTCTGTACTTTTATTCATTTCATTGCTCTTGTTCAGTAACCAGATGGCTCCTTTGTAAAATGAAACAGTAAATTATGGAAAAGAATGCAGAATAATTTCATCTAGTGCTAAAAAAAGGGAGTAAATAGATAGTAGTTATTTCAAATTTTTATTAGATGAAAAGTGAATCATTCAAATTGAAATGGGAATCTACAGTTTTGCCAGCTTTTGACATTTTAGCTTGTGACAAAGGAAATGCTAATCAGCAGACAAAATGGACGAAAGAGTCTGGAGGTTTGTCACTTAAATTGTTTATTAACACCTGTTTGTTCATTAACTTGCTTGAATATGAACAATTTTTCTATGTTTTCCACACAATTTTTCCTTGTAAATCATGGAATAGTGAAAGTGTACAGCCTCTGTCATGTAGTTATCTGCTGATTGGCACTTCCTTTATTTAAAAAAATGGGGCGAAGGGTTTCCCATATCTGCAAATAGCTGAGCGCCGATAACAATAGAAAGTCAATGTGAATTGAAATTGCTTAGCGGTTCACAAGACTGGACCCTGTGTCAGTATGTATTGCACTTCTTGAGTAGAAGGAAAATGGCAGCTCTCATTGAGTCATACCAGAACCTTTCACAACTACAGAGATACTAAAACATGGTATATGCTTCTAAATATGTATATTACTTGTAAATATTACTTTAGCTCTTCAGGATATGACTAACTATGACCATTTTGTTTTCCTCTACCTTTTCAGCTTTTAAGTATAAATGTGTAACTGCAGAGCCTGAACTCTCACCAATGTTTTGAAGAATGTGCATGACTTTACCATAACAGGACCCATATGCAAGAATTTTGTAAATATAGACTGCAAGGGTACAAACGCACACCTCCATAATCACCTGAGTAAGCGTGCTCTGGAGAGGAGACTGGGGGGATATGATAGAGGTCTATATAATCATGACAGGTTGGAAAAGTGAAAAAGGAAAAGTTAATTTACTTGTTCCCATAACATAAGATCTAGGGGTCACCAAATGAAATTAATAGGTAGCAGGTTTAAAATCAACTAAAGGAAGTTTTTCTTCATGAGTGCACAGTCAGTCTGTGGAACTCCTTGCCAAAGGATGTTGTGAAGACAGAATTTGAAAACGAACTAGATAAATTCATGGAGGTTAGATCCATCAATACTTATTAGAAAGGATGGGCAGGAATGGTGTCCCTGAGCTTCTGTTTGTCAGAAGCTGGGAATGGGTGACAGGGGAAGGATCACTTGATGATTTCCTGTTCTGTTCTCTCCCTCTGGGGCATCTGGAATTGGCCACTGTTGGAAGACAGGACACTGAGCTAGATGGACCTTTGGTCTGACCCAATATGGCTATTCTTATGTTCTAAAGAAAATGGAGAGTAGGATAAAATTCAATGGTATAAAGTGCAAAGTCATGCACTTATATTCTACTAAGAATTTCTGTTACAAACTAAGGCTTCGTTAGTTGAACGTAATAGCAGAGAAGAGAAAGCTGGAAGTGGGTTGATCACATGATGGCTATGAGCCACCAATGTGATGGTGCTCTGAAAAAGACAAATGGGATCCTAGGATGTGTCAGGTGAGGCATTTCTAACAGCCATACAGAATTATTATAGTATATGCTATACTATACAGAATTACTATACTATATACTATAGTATTCGATACTATATAAAATTACTACAAAAGGCATTGCTAAGACCACACATGAAATACTGTGTACCACTGTAAAAATAGGGGCAGAGAAGAGTTAAGTAGGATGATCTGGGAATTGAGGATCTATCTTATGAGAGGATACTAGAAAAGTCTGGCTTGTTTAGTCTATCCAAAAAGAAGGCTGAGAGGGGATATTGCTACTCTCAATAAATAAGATACCAAGATAAATACCATGGAGGGTGAAAACTATGTATGCTAAAGAATAATGTGTGCACAAGAACAAATGGATATGCACTGGCCATGAACAAATTTTGGCTGGAAATTAGAAAGTTTCTCACCATCAAAGGGGTGAGATTCATGCAATAAGAGTTGTGAGGACAAAAAAAATAATTTCAAGAGAGATGGACAAATTTCTGAGTGCAGTTGTATGAGTGGGTTGCTTGTGATGGTAGCAGCCAAGGCTTACCAATCCTGGATCTCACTTTGTTTATGGCATAGCTCCCTAAAAGTTCATGCTTCAGGTTTCCAGATGGCTACTTGCAGGGGTCAGGAAGGGAATATTCTGTGGGGTGCTGTTTTTGTTTTAAAAATCCTCATCCAAGCATCAGGAATAGCCATGGCTGAAATGAGATATAGGAGGGTTAGGACTCTGAGTCTTTGCTCACATGATCACCACGTTAGTCAAGGTGAAATTTTCCCCCAATCATATTGGCAGTGACCTTAGAGGCCTTCCTCTTCAGTGAGTGGGTGCAGGTCACTCACTGGGCTCTTCTGGGTATCTCTCAATCATTTCCCTGCCATAGTGAAGGTCTCAGGCACTACTGATAGTCCTCAAATGAAGAGGTTACTTACCTCGTAACTGTAGTTCTTCGAGATGTGTTGCTCATGTCCTTTCTGATTAGGTGTACGCGCGCCGCGTGCACGGATTCCGGAGCTTTTTTCCCTTAGCAGTATCCATAGGGCCGGCAGGGAGCCCCCTGGAGTGGCGCCGGTATACAGGTGCATATATATCCCAGTATCAGAGGGGTAGCCGTGTTAGTCTGAATCTGCAAAAGCGACGAGGAGTCCTGTGGCACCTACACTTCAGTAGCTTATGCTCCTACACTTCAGTTAGTCTATAGGTGCCACAGGACTCCTCGTCGCTTTTATATATCCCAGCTGGCCCCTCCACCCCTTCAGTTCCTTCTTGCCGGCTCCTTCCGACACGGGGAGGTGGGTGGGATGCAGAATGGACATGAGCAACACATCTCGAAGAACTACAGTTACGAGGTAAGTAACCTCTTCTTCTTCTTCGAGTGCTTGCTCATGTCCATTCTGATTAGGTGAGTCCCTAGCCGTGTCCCCCCTCCGGAGGCGGGGTCGGAAGGTGACTAACTACTCTCTTATTATTCTGCAGAGCCCAGAACTGCCCTCCCGACGGCAGCATCCTCCCTGGCCAGTTGCGTGATTGCATAATGGTCTGCAAAAGTGTGCACCAATGACCAGGTTGCTGCTCTGCAGCTTTCCAAGATTGGCACGCAGGCCAGGAACGCCGCCGACGTTGCCTGGGCTCTAGTGGAATGTGCTGTTATGCACAGCAGTGGTCTACCCGAATGCAGGAAGTAATCCACGAGGATATACGCTGCGCCGAGACTGGCTGCCCACACATCCTTTCCGCCACTGAAATAAACAATTGAGTTGACTTACGGAACTCTCGTGTCCTATCTATATAAAAAGCCAATGCCCTCCTAACATCCAGGCAGTGCAGAGCCTGTTCCCTGGGCGACGCGTGTGGCTTGGGGTAAAACACTGGTAGGTAAATATCCTGGGACATGTGGAAGTGCGAGACCACCTTGGGAAGAAACCCCGGGTGTGGACGCAACCTCACCTTATCTTTAAAAAACACCATGTAGGGTGGTTCTGAGGTGAGAGCCCTAAGCTCTGACACCCTCCTGGCTGAGGTAATGGCCACGAGGAAAGCTACCTTATAGGACAGGTGCATCAAAGAGCATGAAGCCAGAGGCTCGAACGGGGGCTTCATAAGGGCAGTCAGGACCAGGTTAAGGTCCCAAGCCGGGACCGGAGGTCTCTCATATGGCATCATTCTGTCAATTCCCTTTAGAAATCTTTTAACCAAGGGATTGGCAAAGATAGACCTTTGGCCCCCCCCGGCATGGAAAGCCACTATGGCCGCCAGGTGTACCCTTAGGGAGGCTGTGGCCAGGCCCTGTTTCCGCAGGTGGAGAAGGAATTCCAAGACAGTCTGAACCGCCCCTTCACCTGGAGAGAGCGTCCTGCCCTCCAACCACAAAGTAAACCTCTTCCACTTAGCCTTGTCGAGGACTCTAGTGTACTGCTTTCTAGGAGGACCTCCTGGACTGCTCTGGAGCAGGCTCACTCCGTCACTGAGAGCCACTGAGGAGCCACGCTGCTAGGTGCAGAGATGGTAGGCTCGGGTGGAGTGCTACCCCGGCCTCGCAGCTCTGAGTGATTAGATCTGGCACTAGGGGTAGCCTGAGCGGGCCCTCCACAGTCAGATCCAGCAGGGTGGTGAACCAGTACTGCCGAGGCCATACTGGCGCTATCAGGATGATCTGGGCCCTGAACCTTTGCACTCTGAGGAGTGTATCGTGGATCAGAGGGAACGGGGGGAAGGCATAGAGTAGGCC